CCAGTCTCAAGCCAAAGCCCTTAACCGAGTGCGGGTTTTCCATCGTGGTCTAGCTCCAATTGACTCACGCTTTCAACTATGAGAACTCTAAATCTCCACAAAAACTCCCTTCTGATTTAGAGTTGTTCAGAAGATTTGAACACTGGTCAATGAACATTAAGATCAATGTAAGAAATAATTGTGTTCCATTTAATTTTGCATGATAAATAGATCTATTTCTTTGTAATTTAGACTTGGACTTAGTCGAATGACTATTTGGTAATCTGATGAAACCTCATCAGTGTAACAAGTACAATAAGGTGTACATTTATTTTGTGATGGAACCATCAACTAAAGGTGAAACTTTTAATGAATAGTATTTCTTAATCATAGTGTGGTATCCACTACTTATGCGTACAGACCTAAGTAGTATGTAGCAGAAATCGGAATGCTTACCAGTAGATGAGTGAAATTAAAAGAAGAGGAAGGAAAATATAAAGCAAATGAAATGACAGCAGGATCGGAGGTATGATGAAGTATGTAAAGAACAACTGAAAGATTTGCAAATGATTGTCAGATTTTACAAAGTTACTGTTTCATTTTGCATTACACAATAAGTGGGTTGAGCCCACTAAGTTTTCATTTACTACAATAGTATTAATTGAATTACAGGCTTAAGGTAATATAGATTGATCTGTTGGGAAACTTTTAGTACTGAGCAGTAACAGTGTTGGTCGAAAGTGTTGCAATGAAGTAAACTGCCAATGAACTGTTTGTTCTGCGACTGATTTCCTGTGCATCTGGCATTATTTTATCATTTATTTAAAGACATTAATATTGGTACAAAGGGGCACCAGATATATAAACACCGCACAAATCTCATTTGATTTGTGTGAGGGCTATGATACTGCACAAAGATGCCCAAACCGAAGCAGGTGGTTTTCTTAGGGGGATACACTCGGAGTCTTTGACTTAAAGGTCTGATCCACAAGGCAGTGGAGTATAGTGAGGAGATGCAGTCCCATGATACTTTCTTTTAACTACCGGCTGATATAAAAAAAGTGTAGCAAAGCTAATTTATGTGTATTCATCAAAACTACAAGCAATTTGGTTAAAGGAATTCAATGAGTTTATTTTCAAAACTTTATCAGTTCAATGTTAATACTAAACTTAGTTAATCAGTCGCGGTAGAACCTTTTATACACGTATATCGATCTGTATTAACTCAGTTTGCATCAATTAATCGTAATGAGAAATAATTCCCCGAATTTATAGAAAGGAAGAGGTGAATGCTTACAGTAAACCATGTTGGTAGCCAGGTTCTTTTCATCAATACCACTGAATCACCACACTGTTCCCGAAATTCAGCTGAATAAATTGGGATATGAGAACTACTTGGAATCAACTCATTGGTTGGAAGGTGCGTTCGTAGTGAGATCTGGAGATCTTCAACTCAATCCCTGATGGTATCAAGGATTCGCGTTGTTGAGGAATTCCAAGTTGGAACAAAACAGTTGTTCAGTACTCTCGAGTTCTCAATGATTTTTCAACTGATATTAGTCCAACTGCAACACCATCACTGATGTACTCCTACTATAGTTCACACTGGTTAATATTGATCAAACCTGAGACTAATGCTTTCACTGGTTTACTGTCGATTACAATATGGAATTTTTAATTTATATTTCAGCTTCCTTAGAAACTCCCAATATCTCAGCTGAATTAGCTTTAGTGATGAAACGGAAACACATGGAACTTACGAGCATCGTTGTTTTTAGGTTTAACCCATTGTATAATGTTTTGACAGAATTCTATCTAATAAATACACAAACCCAGCTAATAATGTTGTTGTTATAAACGTAAGTATGCCGTCGCCAATTGTTATAAACATAGAGAGAGAGAATGCTGATTATAACTTTAGGGGTTTCTGGTTATAACAGTCCTTTTACTTCTTACACGTATGCGGGACGTTAATTTATCTTAGACGAATATCTACACTAGATTCCCACCCAGTGTCTATTCTACAGGACTTCAACAGAACTCAGATCAAGAACACGAGATTAGCCTGACTATAACGTCAATATATTTCCATACCAAAATCCGACACAAAGAACAGTCAATCAATAAGTATCCAACATCAAGGAACAGTCAATCAATAAGTGTCCATCAACAAGGAACAGTCAAGAAGTCCATACATAATAAGGATAGGGAAATATATATATAACACCTGTCATCCCCTCTAATGTCTGACTCATCGAGACAACCAATCATTGACATTCTCGCCCACACATCAGTTGTATACAACCGTCAACATCGTGTTGATGGAGATACCAATTTTGAAAGGTCTTGTTGGGATTGATCGTGGACTCATCATCCGAATGATTGATGAACTGAGTAAGGGAAAGTCACCATTTGTGTACAAGCATTGGGGTTGAGAATGTTGTGTACAAAATTCATACAATAGTTGATGACACTTGAAAAAAAGCTAGAAAAGACCGAATATCCACTGTCTGGATGAAACTACCCTAAAGATTTTAAGTTTTAATGAGTCATTACGATTACACCATCCAGTCAGGTCTCCGGAAAATTCTGAAGATGCTTTGTACACTGGCAATGGAGAAAGAAGTACTTTTGCCGCAAAAATGAATATTATTTCAGGATAACATTTTTGAGATAAGACATAAAATGAATTCAATTTTCGTAAGTTTAAGGCGGACCACATAGGTGACTAATTAAAAAACAGGAGTGTATTTAAAGACTGTATTCGCTAAGTACATGTTGGGATACGCCTCATTTAATGCAGGTTGGTTGGAGACAATTGAGAAAAATCAGCTTTCGTTAACCATTGTGATTGCGTGAGAGTATTGAAAGTAGAGTAAACGAAGATATTGAACATTTCTTAGTTTATTGTTTGGAGGGCTCCCAAAAAGCACGACAAATCCTCCCGAGCCTCTAAAGAAGCCGGAAATCCCATTCATTCAGAACATTCTAGGCTATCAACGTAGTATGGCATGATCAGAAAAATGTAAACTTACTGCTTGCGGATTGGCTGGATGATAACAACATTATGATCTATACTAAAAACTATAACTACGCCTGTTTTTCGACACACTTTTAAATCCTACTCAGTAGTCGCTTCCCTTGCTTCTTCCTTCTTTTGATTCGCGACTGTATATTTTTACGCGTTCGTGTGCCGACTGTCATATACCGTATTTGTAGTAATTAAGCAGTGGACGTCATATATATGAACAACTGTAAATGATAAAAAGTCTGTTAGTACAATCTAAGTCATAAGTCTCAACGGACCATCGATATCGATGTCACTAATTACCTGATATGTGCATATAAAACGTTCTGTCTGATTAGACAGAAAAACAACCGATTTGTGGAAGTTTAACACGAGCTGTGATGTATACCAAAATGTCGTAGGAAATAACCTTAAAATATATACATGGTTTTAAACAAACTGTATGTGATAACACATTGGTCAAAAACCATCAGTTAGTAAGGATTTAACAGTTACATATGATTTCCACAGGTCAAAATCGACCTAGTAGTTGAAAAAACCTATCGCTGGTTATAACCAATATATTTTGGAACCCGGTTAAGGTTACTAGCGTTCACTTAACACGTGCAGTTTAAAGTTCAGTTTATAATCACGTCATTCACCATTGAGTTATAGTAGAATGAATATTTATTTATTTATTTGAACACATAAATATTGGTACAAAAAAGCATCAAATACATAGGCGCTACACAAATCTTATTTGATTTGTGTGAGGGCTGTGATACTGCTTGGGTGCCCAAACTGAAGCATGTAGTTTACTTAGGGGACCACACCCGGAGCCTTTCACCGAAAGATCTGATCCACAAGACAGTGGAGCATCTTAAGGAGATGTAGTCTCATGGTAGCCGGTGACCACCGATTGGTTCCCTCACGATACTGGAGCCCATGTGCATCATTGGTTTGGAATCAGTGTTTTCCAACTCCCTTTCCGTGTCCACCAACTCGGTTAAAGCGCCGGGCATTCGCTTTTCGTCCTCTCAATTTCGTAAACAACACCCCCGCCATGAGAAGGCAGTGAGTAGGACTTCCACTCTCCACTCTCGACCGCATCAGGGCATTTGGGGGCTTTAAGAATGAATATACTGTAAAAAAAACCTATCAAATGATTTAAAGCATTTTGGTGATATATTAATGCTACTTATTTCAGTTGTTCGATAATAACTAGGATAATTAGTAAGAAAAAAGACCTCTTGAAAATATTATATAGGTGTTTTTTTAATTTTAACTCATTACATAATCAAGTGGAAAACACTACCATATGTAGATTATTTAGACATAATCACAGTCCGTTAATATATAAAATGTTTAAATAAAGAAGGGTGATACACTCGAATATCCTATAAATAGAATATCCGAACGATTGAAAGCAAATTTTTAAGAAATCCAGCCAATCAGAACATATCACGGAACCAAATATGTACACCTATGAAGTAGGTAATGCCTCTCAATAGGATTTGAACCGGGTTTTTTTGGTAGAAATAAAAACAGATAAACACTTAAAACAACAATGTTTTCTTTTTTGAAAAAAAGATCTAGCACCACAACAATACAACTTACCATGTATAATCAGATTGCAAGAAGTGAACATTATAAAAAACGCATGAATTCTCTCTGGTTAATATCCAAAGTTTAGAGTTCTGAAGGCACATTGACCGGTCAATAAAACTGGTTAATCACACGGATACACATATTTACGGAGAGAAATGATCAACTCATAGGAAACTTTCATCTGTTTGTGTGTTATTTTATGACAAAAAGGAAGGTAATCATATCCAAAAAAGAGATTCAAAATGAGGAATGAAAATACACAGTAAATCAATCAAGAAAGATTATATATTCAGGCGCAAGAGATCAGTTATACACATATAGTAAAGAAAAATAGTCCAATGTTATTGTCAACTTTGATAATTTATTCATAATCTGGTGTATTTAAACAATAATAATAATAGAAAATTCATCCAATACATGAAGAACATAATCGTTTGACTGCATCCCTGTAAACAAGATAATAACGAAATATAGTTGGTAAGACTTGAAGGATTTCTAATGAAACTATCATAAAATAAAAGATACACATATACAGAAGAACGATAACTATCACGGGTTAGGTGGTGAAAGGTAAAAAAATAATCAAGTGAATATATAGAATCCAAAAAATGTGTTTTATATAGTTGAGATCATGAGTCAATTGAAGCTAGACCGCCATGGGAAACCTGAAAGCACTGGACGGCCGTTTCGTTCTATTGTGGAATTCCTCAGCAGTGAGCTTACTAGTGACTGGCTCCGTGAGGTAATTCCTGGAGTTCTGGTGAGAAGTTGTGACCAGTGGAGCTAATCCATGTTAGGTAAAGACAGGTATCTACCTCAGTACAATGGAAGTTGGTCGCGCAATGTCGTGAATTGGTTGAGGTTAGACATTAACACCGTTGGATGCCGGCTCAGTGGTCTATCGGTTAAGTGCTCTGGCGCGATACTGGTAGGTCCTTGGTTCGAACTCCACAAGGCGGAATCATGGATGCGCACTCCTGAGCAGTCCCACAATAAGACGAAACGGCTGTCCAGTGCTTTCAGGTTTTCAATGGTGGTCTAGTTTCAACTGACTCATGATCTCAACTATATAAAACTACTAAAATCTTCACGAAACCCCCTTCTGAAAATGTCGTGTGTTGTAAAGAATAGACGTAAGAGGTTTTAAAAAACATTGTACTGTTTTAGTAATTCCGCTTTTATAAGTAAAACTGTATAGTTGACCGAAAAAATGATGTAAACTCATTTAGAATGTAGAGGTCTATTGTATTCAAGGGGCTGCAAGGCACATTACTTGGTTCACTGAGACTAATACTAATTGGCCAGCTAAATTAAAGTGTATGGAGTAGACCATGAGAATAATACTTATCAATTGAAAGACAGAGTGTTTTAAATATCAAACCAACGCTCAATAAACTTCATAATATATATTAGTTAGTTATAATTAATATACAACCTAGCACGTGTCATCCCAAGTTGGTATAGCATATCTGACAATACAGAATACTAGTGTTTGACATCCCCGACAAATAAATACATATATCTTACCCCTCCTTAACACCTAGCTAATCAAAAACCCACAGTGGATTGAAGTTACAAACTCAGACAGTATTACCTTTTAAGATGATATTGGAAAACTGTCATAGCCAAAGCTATTATAACTGCGTTAACAGATTAGTAGTGAGTTACTAAAACACTTTGCTTATATTTTTAATACAATTCATTTAAGCAGATATTGATATATAGGGCCACCATAATATACATGCGCCACACAACGAAAATGAAATTTAAGGCAATTATGTAACAAGAAGAAAGCCCAACGAAATCAATCGGTTTATCCAAGCTCGTGAGAAAGATACTGGAGATTAACTATTCTAACAAAAGTATTAGATTGCAAATTCAGTCACAAAGGACAGGTGGATGAAGAAATCGAAAAACCGACGTAAATGAGACATCAATCATTTGGGATTATATCAAGTTCAACACAGTATTATAATGAAAAACATGATGGAAATACTGGACAAACAACTAATGGAATTACCTAGCGTATGGGATGTACGAGAGTGAATACCATGTCAACGCCAAAGACTGGAGAATGCAAAATATTAGGCAGAGGAGACGAAGTCCCTATAGATGTTGGACATTATTACAAAAAATATTTACCATTACTGCGAAAACGATTGTGAGAACCAAACATACCTAAATTACATTATTTGTACGTAAATAAATAGTAAGAAAATGATTTTACCAGCATGATTACTGCTGCAAAAACTCTTGTCTCCTGAAACATACGCTTTAACTGATTTACAGGTCCCATAAGAAAAATCGTGCTAGTAGGACTTCAAGCATACATAATACTGATTACCTTCCCAGAGAACATATATTACCTAACGTATAAAACAATGCAAAGAGTGTGATACCTGCCCCAGGTAACCACAAACATAAGGATCCCTAGATCGTAAGCAAAAATGTACTGTGTTTACCATTAGTGACATCACGATACCAACTACTAAACAAATTATAAAGGCTTTTATACGTGTACTCCAGCTCAGAGAACAACCATTTTCGACCTAAGAATTTGTAAAACTCTCTTCATGCATACGTCTGTTAATATTCCTTGTTCATCATCATCTCGAGAAAACCACCGTTTTATCTTATCCATTGAAACAGCTGTGGAGATCAACTATCAAATATCCGCCAATTACCAGCATACATTGTTCTTATCTCAATATCCAATATCTTTGTGTCAAGCTTATACAAACCCATTTGCTTTCCGTTGTTTCATTGAGGATATATAACCTGATGTCTGAAAAAGCGAGTTCGGTTCACAGCAGGAGGGCTTCTAGAACCTAATTTCAAACCAATTTTCAAAGGAGGTCGACGCAGTGAACCCTCAAGCTACCGACCAGTGGCCCTTCTCTCCATACCTTCAAAAATTATGGAATCCCTAGTATTCGACGGCATACAAGAACACTTATCATCCTCAAAGTTCTTCTCACCTCAACAGCATGGTTTCAGAAAAGGTCATTCTTGTACGACCAACCTGCTGACTGCGGTGGATAAATGGACAACCATCCTTGATCGCAAGGGGAAGGTTGACGTCATTTACCTGGACTTCTCAACCCCCTTTAATTGACTGGATCACTTCATACCTAGAAAACCGACATTTTAAGGTCAGGGTTAACTTCACTCTCTCTCAGGCTATGGAATGTTCTAGTGGGGTCCCCCAGGGTTCAATACTAGGACCTCTTCTCTTCTTGATTTATATTAACGATCTTCCTCAACAATTTTCATCTGATTTATTGGTTTTTGCTGATGATGTGAAACTTTGGAGAGAGATACGTAATCACAATGATATACTAGTTCTGCAGGAGGATCTGACTCGACTTCAAAGTTGGGCAGACGACAACGGACTTACCTTCAACACTTCAAAGTGCAAGGTAGTCCATCTGAGACATGTTGCAGACTATAGTTATAACTTAGGTAACTCACCTCTAGAAGTTTCCCAAGTTGAAAAAGATTTAGGAGTGTTGGTACCCTACGACCTGAAATCGTATGCGAACTGTGACAAAAACGCCTCTCAAGCAAACCTTGCTCTGGTAACATTGAAGCGCATTTTTGGCCAGTTTGACGGTAGAACCTTCCACATAATCTTCAACAGTTTTATTCGTCCCCACTTAGAGTACGGAAACATAGTATTTCCTCCCTCCCTCCAAAAGGATAAGGTCACTCTGGAACGTATACAACGTCGAGCCACGAAATCAGTTCGGGGTCTCAAATTCAAACCTTATGAAGAGCGCCTCAAATCACTTAACCTTTACCCGTTAGAGCACAGGTGTCTTAGAGGTGATCTTCTTATGACTTATAGTATCCTTAATACTTCTGGTCATCCCCTTAAACAACTTCTTAAGCTTAGTCATAACACTAACCTCAGAGGTAACACCCAGAAATTGGAGACCCTATATAGCAGAACAGACTGCAGACACAACTTCTACTCCGTTAGAGTTGTCAAGTGCTGGAATTCGCTGCCGACTGAGCTAGTCCAAGCGACCTCCCAGGAGTCCTTTAAGAGAAAACTTGACTTATTCTTAAGGACTAAGGATAACATATTATTATGATTTACCAAACTCTTTTTTTCCCTCTATTATCGTTCATATACCTAGGTTCTTGCCTGGAGGTATTGGTGATCCACTGCTATCAGACACGGAAGCCCGTTAAGCGAAAGCTTCTTCTATTCCGTCCTCAACCATTTGAACCATTTGAACCAACAGTTATCATGTTACTAGTCAGGAGACGGGTTGGTGGCTGTTTGAAAAATAAAGTGAAAATTCGAGGGCTAGAAATTGATTGTTCCTAGAAACGAATAAATGAATGAATTGTTTAACTAGAGATGCATGGAATGCGAGAGGGCATAGAGGTATGAATAAAGGCTGGATGGAAATGATACGAAGCTATATAAGAAAAAGGTAATTAATTGGGATAATCATAGTTATGAGACATCAATCATGTGCATATAACTCAAATAAGGTATGGTAATTCCTATTTGAGTAGGTTTTTGTAAAGTCTCTAAATGAAACTATTCTCTGATGGGACTGCGGTCAATTCCTCTAGGAGAGCATTCAATACGCGTACAGTTATTGGTGAGAAGTAGTGGGGGTGATCTGGCTTTTTGTTGTACGGTTTTACATGGGTCACCCAGAGAAGGCGATGATGAATTCCTGGTTGAATATTATTTTTCAGGTGCTTTGGAGTACTTAGTATGTTGAGTGCCACTATCAGATCACTTTTTATTCTCCTTCAGCTAACCCACAGGATAAACAAATTAAGGTGTTGGAGTCTGAATTTGTAAAATTTTATTCTTAGGCCCATCATCCACTTGGTTTACTGTCACTGCACTTAATGCCACTTTTGAAGAAGGGCGATGAAAAAATATGGACTTCTGAATGAGGTATTGAGTATGGTTTAAATTGTGTCCTAAACAACTTTCGTGTGGTTGTATCTAACTGTCTTTGAACAAAACTGAGAGACCAACCTGTTTCACCTTGGTCTAAGATTAACACGAACGAACGTATTGTATTTGGAGTCGGAAATCAAGCAGTCATCAAGTACAAAGGAATCATTAGTTCATACAAACACCACATCCGCCACAGTTTGTGTCTGTAATCGATTATAAGTCTCCTCAAGTTCATCTTGCGTCCGTCCGACAATGTATTGAATGTAGGCTATGTATTTTCTGTGATGTACTTGCAGATCGCCAACACAAATGACCTATAAGAAATGACTGGGGGCCTACTCTAGTTAGACTGGAATGATGTGATCAATAGCTTAATCCGAAGTCACAACTCGCGGTCAGCACCTAACATGGTTTACCCCTTTGTCATATCAAAGTGTTATTGCTGCTTTTCGAAGACAGTATAACACAAAGGACGTAATTACAAAAAATAAACTAGTTGAAAATCGTGCAAGCGAGAGTGTGACCACCACCGCATGGGTCAGTCCATGGCGTACGATTAACTGATACGAGTAAGTTGTCCTTGACCTTCACAGAAATCGATGATCTGTTCAATATTCAGTGATCCAACTGCCGGATGATTTGGCTAGAAATCAATGAAATTTCATTGGCCCTACATAATCATTACTGTTAAAACCAAAAGCAGGAATTGGAACAGACTGATGTGGGTCTTGTAGTTGCACACAATCACCATTTTGGCTTTGTACTGGAACCCGTCATATCTGAAATTTGAATAATAGACCTTGGATGGCGTCGAGTCGCGATTAATTTTTCCATTATACTAATCGCGTTCCCGTCAAAAAAGTAGGTCACTAAAAGACTATCTAAAACTATCCTCCCCTACGAAATGATGCAGGGTCCTCGCGTTGAAATGTTATGACCAATTTGATGTTTCCGATTTGCGTTATTTTCTCATATCACACAATCTGATTATTATGTATGAGTGTTTGGTGATACACGCTGACACATAATTTGAAGCATTCCATAATGTGACTTTGATTTGCATAGAAATTATGACACACATTCCCCTTGTTGGAATACACAGATTAATATTCATTGATATGTGTAATTAATACATGTGATTCATCTAAGCTTGATTCACCTGTAAGACAACCAAATGGAAAACATGCATCTGCTTGATACTCATTAAGATAATCTTGGACCCGATTTTGATTTCCTGACTGTTCAAATAGGTTTTCTGACTGCTTCGCCAAGACTTGTTATTCCCTCTGACTCATCATATCACTGACTAGGGATTCCACTCGATACGCATTGGTTTGGAGAATATCCAACATTTGATGCAAGAACACCAGAAATGAAACTACAATTAGACTCATTCGGAACATATTTATCACATTCACTAAGAATATCAATTTTCATAAACCAATTATAAAGACAAATGACATTTGATGTGACATAAGGATTGGATCCCTCTGAAATATTTTCCTCAAATTCATTAAGAATTCCATTATTGAATAATTGATCATTGGAAAAGTTTGCGTCTTTCCAAAATGCATCAGATTTTCGGTCACCATTTAATTTTCTCAAAATACTTTCCTCAGATTTATAACAAATTTCATTAGAAATATGTGAATCGTTAGGACAAAGTATATCTGGTACAATAACATGAGAAATTTGATAAGAAGTTAGTTTACTAGGAACTTTTGTCTCACAATTATTCGCCATTTCATTTAACTCTGCACTTCTGTGTGACTCTATAGTGCTTCTTGAAATCGTGGATAAGGATAAAAGATCAATAGAAATACTCAACTCAATAGGATCAGAATTACAAAATCTAGTAAATGGTGCAGAGAAATGACCGGTAGTATTACAAACTGACTGAATGTGTCCAATCTCACCACATTTAAAGCGTTCAGAATTACGAAATACACATGAATTAAGTGGATGGAACTTGTCACAGGACAAACTTTGTCCAAACGTGTCCTCATATTCGTGAACCCTATCGCAACTCCCCAATGAATCGACATTTGAATAACTCTGATTACACATTGGATTGGGACGACGTAGTAAAGTGGTGAAATTGCTGATGTCCGGATGAATCATTTTGTGAAACTTTCCTCCTTCATTACATTAGAAAATTGTACAATTTACCTAGTGTAAAAATGGTTGTTTGAGAGTTGCATAAGGGAGTGAGATCGGCTTGTCTAGAAATGCCAGAGTCTTTATTAAGCCGTGTGATGAATGTGAGCAAATCAGCTACAATTGTAACATCCTCAACATTTTCCTCCGCCACAGCTCAGATTTTGAATGTTTCCATGTGATCCTCAAAAGCAGCGAAATCTGAATGTATGTTCGACCGTTCCATCACAGGCTCTATCAGCATGTTATCTAGCTGTCTCATGCCATGAAATGATTGATCACACAGGATCTGCAGTTTTCAAATACGTGTTAGGCTTCTTGAGGGACATTACCTACTTCCATATGCTCCCTCAGTTGGTCGTTAATTAGTCTTTCTGCTACCTTCGGGAATATTGGGTGTAAGGCAAATGATCTGTGGAAGGCCGAATCTTTCTTGTATCTTGCTCCGAAAACTGACTGAAGTAGCCCGATTCCATTATTTGTGAAGTTTTGAAAGGACGCTTCATAAGATCTGTGGGCTATATATACTTCTGAAATTTGTTATAACTTCTCCAACTGGCGTTTGACTTCATGGTGTGTTTGGAACAAACATCTGCTTAGAATTTTATCTAAGCTTCCAATCATATGTATCAGTGACACGGAAATCTGGATGCTTAAGGACTATATTTTCTGAAAATACAGTACTACCATTAGGAATTCATAAGGAATACATAACAAACATCAGTCCATGAGGTATCTACGGTCCACGTGTACACTGAAGGAATAATAATAATAATAATAATATATTTCTGCATCTTGAAAGGTATATATTTACTTTATGTACAACAACACTCAATAAGTTATGTAGCAGCTAAGAACTGTGTGGAAACTGCGATGGACAAACATAAGAGTGTATACTATTATAATCAATTAAAATCTCGAAGAGCTCACTGAAATTAGATATGACCATTAAAAACATCCATAAGATGTAATTACAGTAGTAAATAAGTTGAATGTCACGAATTTGTGTAAATCTCAAAAATATTACACAATGAATACATTTTACATGCCCCGTGCTGAAAAGTTGTTAATTTCGAGGCTGTCTACTGAATATTAGTGAGCAGTATAAGAATGCAGAAAATACGGATTTGTTGTAAACATTGAGAAAGTAAACAGTTTCAAAAAACTCTTTAGAGCTACATCAATGTACATCAATCATTTTATTTCTTCTTAGGGAAAGCCATTTGATGGGAATGAATAGTCAGTTGTATATTGATCTTTGACTTACACTAACCACAAAGATATTTTCACATGGTGTTGTTTACTTGTAGCTAAGTGGATAGCGCGAAGGTAATTGAAGTGAACGGTACTGGGTTCGGGTCTCAGACTGAACATCAACTCTGACATGCAGGTATATGTAGCTGAAGACTCTCAAATAGGACGAAACACGCGTCAAACTGGATTCCACTGCTAGCCACTATCCATCATTGCTCCCAATGATAATTGTTTAAGTGAGAGTAAGCTTGTGTATGCAAATAGGCAATGTATGACCAGTTGTACTATAAATTGAGTTCGATCATAATAAACACAGAGACGTGTATATCCAGACACTTGAAATAGCACTGTCATTAAGAAATTATGTCCACAAAATGAATACAATGTATGGCTGCAAACTACACATGGAAATGTGCTTGAGTGTTTAGTGGAGAAGGACAACAAGAACGACGGTATATACAGAATGTCACATGCTATTCCTCTAGACCATCAAATCAGAAGCCGACGGTGTTAGTGTCTAACTTCTACCAATCTATGGTCTTGCTCAACCATCCATTCAATGAAACAGGTAGATTACTCTCTCTACCCGATGGGGATTGGACTCCACTGGCCATGACTTCTCACTAGAATTCCGAGCATTCCCTCACGAAGCCAGTCATTAGTGAACGTCCGGGATCGTGAATGAGCACTTCTGAGGAGTCCTATACAACGATGAAACGGTAGTTCAGTGATTCCAGGTTTTTCATGATTGTCTAACATTAATCGATTCACGATATCAATCAAATAAAAAATGGAATTAATCTTTTCAGCACATTGAATAAAAACTAATATCTTCGATTGAATATTTTTCAAGGTAGCTACAAATTTCATAATTCAAGTTAGGAAGAGAATCAACACACTGTTGAGGAGTCCCACAATAAAACGAAACAGCCATCCAGTGCTTCCATGTTTTCCATGGTGGTCTACCTTCAATTAAATTATGATTTCAACTATGAAAACATAAGCTTCTATTAAAAGCCTACTTAACTTATTGTTGTTGTTGTTTTTCTAGTGGACTACATTTAAATAAACAATCTGAATTGTGAAGTAAAATCAGATGGTTACAACAACAGTGAACACTGTTTGTTTGTTCCCTTTTATTATTACTATAAATAGTACTATTATTATTACCATTATTACTATTATAGTTACTATTATTATCATTATTACTATTATTAATTATGCTTGACAAATTACGTGTGATCATCATGTGTGTTAAGTCAAAACGATGTGAGCGTAAATTATATTTTCAATTTAATGACAGAATTCGCACTTACTACTGATAGTACTACTACTACTACTACTACTACTACTACTACTACTACTACTACTACTACTACTACTACTACTACTACTACTACTACTACTACTACTACTACTAATACTAATACTACTACTACTACTACTACTACTACTACTACTTCTACTACTACTACCACTACTACTGCTACTTCTACTACTACTACCACTACTACTACTATCACTAATAATAGTAATAATGGTAATAGTAATAAACAACATTAATTTTAACAAAGAAATTTGTTTACAGACTCCACTTGTTCAAGTTTAAAATTTAGCTTATGTAATTTTGTGCACAGACTTTCAATTTACAATGCTGAATTCATAAATAATGTGTTAATTGACTTTCCATTGTATTGATAATTTATTTTCATTTTAAAACATTGACACTTTCTAAGCAAAGATTTATAGTGGTTAGCAGTGGAATCCAGTTTGATTCGTATTTCGTCCTGCTTGAGACTTGAGCTGGATATACAAGCAACTCAGAGTTGGTGTTCACCCGGAGAATTGAATCCAGTAGCGTTCGTTTCAAATGGAATCGGGTAATCCATTTAACTACTGAGTGGTGATGGCCACTTGCTTATGCAATGGAGTGAAGTTTGATTTTATTTCGAGTCTTAGAGTGAACATCAACTCCGAGATGCCAGTTCATTCACTTGACGTGTCCCAAATGTTACGAAACGCGAGTCAAACTGTATTCCACTGCTAACCACTATCTATCTTTATCTAGAATGCTCGTGGATTAAGGTAATATCGACTCAATCTGAACAGTGCGTAGATATGCCAACAATAGATTGATCAATTACAGTTCTGAACATGAATGCGAAGATTCAAGTAAACAATGATAAGTGAGCATTGACAATTAGTTACAAGAATGTGACGGTGTAAAGAAAATCACTTACAATAATGTTTTATGGTAAATGTCTAATGCAATTCATAGAAGTAATCAAATGTTCAATATTTCAATTAATCAAAATTCCTTTACCTTTTATAAATGCTTAGTACAAACGACAAGTTCACTTTACTCAGTAAACGGAACGAAGGTCAATTACACAGTAACACAGTAAATTATTCTAATCCGTTGTCCCCGGCCATGCTAACTAGATCAAGAAGTCTTGATTAAGCGTAAAGAATGTATTATACAAGCATCCAGAAAATACGAGGTCTTCATAACTCCGCAACCACATGTCAAAATTAACGTTGGCATCAGGATCATATAGAAAATCAGCAATGCTATTTGCGATGCCGTCTACTAATGGTGCTGTGGTAACATCAAATATGCTAGGCTGTTTGGAAGGCGAAATTTTGATATCTGTTAACATCTGGATAAGTTACAGCTGCTGCTCAAGTAATAATTCAAGTTTAGAAGGATCCATGTTTCCTATCCCTGTCGCTAAATGAGAGTCAAGAATTACCGAATGGTAGATGTAAGCTGTAGGTCAACTAAGCATATCTTGGAGCGAAAACATAACATTCAAATTTTCGGGATAAAATTACAAAACCAGGACCTTTTCCAAGTGATTTCCGGAGATCTAACATCGCTAGCAACGTTTAATGGTAGTTTGTAGGCAATTAACAAAATGGATTAATGTCTAACGACATACTATTATGTAAATTGGATCACACCACGAGCCACTGACCTAAAGGTTCGGTCAACAAGGCAGTGTAGTAACTTTAGCAGATGGCGTCCAATGTTAGAGGCGGATCAACAATAGGTTCATATATGCCACTTTTTCCATCACAATCCTGGAGACCATTTGCACCATTGGTTTGCAATTAGGTTTTCTAGAATCCCCTAGATGGTTACTCTGTATCGATCAAATATGCTAGGCTGTTTGGAAGGCGAAATTTTGATATCTGTTAACATCTGGATAAGTTACAGCTGCTGCTCAAGTAATAATTCAAGTTTAGAAGGATCCATGTTTCCTATCCCTGTCGCTAAATGAGAGTCAAGAATTACCGAATGGTAGATGTAAGCTGTAGGTCAACTAAGCATATCTTGGAGCGAAAACATAACATTCAAATTTTCGGGATAAAATTACAAAACCAGGACCTTTTCCAAGTGATTTCCGGAGATCTAACATCGCTAGCAACGTTTAATGGTAGTTTGTAGGCAATTAACAAAATGGATTAATGTCTAACGACATACTATTATGTAAATTGGATCACACCACGAGCCACTGACCTAAAGGTTCGGTCAACAAGGCAGTGTAGTAACTTTAGCAGATGGCGTCCAATGTTAGAGGCGGATCAACAATAGGTTCATATATGCCACTTTTTCCATCACAATCCTGGAGACCATTTGCACCATTGGTTTGCAATTAGGTTTTCTAGAATCCCCTAGATGGTTACTCTGTATCGATCAACCCTGTTAAATCACTGGACGTTCGCTTCTCATCCTCTCGATCCCGCAAACAACAACCCCTTCAGGAAAAGGCAGTGAGAAGTACTTCCCTGACAGTGGTTGTATGCACGTGTACATGTGTGAGGAGTTTGAGAGGAGAAGCTGACTGTCTGAACTCTCGGCTGTACGAGGTCGTTCGGGGGCGACCGCTGAGCTCGATGTGATACGAACACACAGTCTTTTGATGTTAAATGTTATCATACGATTCAAGGTTGTATGGAAATGTAAAATGATTGATAATGATTATGAAACGAAATAAGATTTAAATTCACCTAGTATTGTTTGTTTGAATCTTCCCATCGATGTGTTTGGGACTGCAACTGGTCAGTCTCTAATCGGCATATGTGCATACTGTGCCTATTGCCTCAATATAGCCTTGATTCACAAGCATGGTAAGATTCAAGCATGGGAAGATTCAAACAAACAATACTAAGTGAATTCAAACTTCACCCCATCGCACAAGCAAGTGGCTATCAGGACTCAGTGGCTGAGTGGATAACGCGATGGCGTTTGAAGCGAGGGTACTGGATTCGAGTCCCAGAGTGAGCATCAACTCTGAGATGCAGGTACATCCAGCTGACGAGTCCCAAATAAGACGAAACGCGCGTTCTGGATTGCACTGCTAGCCACTATCTTTCTCTGCTTAAATAAGATTTTATTTAAAAATTTATTATTATTATCAAATCAAAACATATTTCGTTAATTATAAATGAAAAGAAAAGATCATTAAGAATACTTTTTTCAAATGGTTACTCGTCTTCTAAGTTAAACATATCAATGTTATTATATTGAATACCGGCATACTGAAGTTGCAATCAGAACAGAACCTATTACGGTGTAATATGCTCCATTGATTGTAGTACCTGAAGATGAGAATCGAACAGAAAATTCATTGTTTCATTTCATGGTAGGTCATAAAATTTTCGATTAGATTGTTTGAATTGTGTAAAATGATTATTATTTGTAATAGTTGAAGATTGATCTCAGATGAAGTGCTGGTGAATAGCAAGGAACACATGATCTCTATTCCATTTTAGTAAAGGACTCTCGGTGGTACTTCTGGATGACCGTTCAGCCAACCCGATCTCATGGTATCCTTTGAGTTGAATTATATTTCTTAACGAATCACTGACGTGATTGAATATAGTGTTGAAGTTATGGTAAGAATTTGTGACTAGTGAAGTTCGGATAGGTCGTGAAGCGAAATACCCATCATCATTAGTAGCAAAATATGACCATCATATGGTATCAATGTAGCTGTAAATAATTCCCCATGATCAATAGCTTTTTAAGAGTTCGACATTGGATGCTGACCACATTGTTTTAAGTGGACTTGTTCAGCTGAAGTCGTTCGGTCATGCATCCGCACCAGATCACGTTACGACTCAGCGTGGGAAACAGTTCTTACGTTCACTAGCCAGATTAGAGCAACCGCCTCTCGATATATTGATAACGCATCAAATACATCTTTCCTACCTCTTCTCATCTGGCTACTGATTTTAACCAAGTGGGGGGACGATTTGAATATAGTTGTTACTGGTTAATAGTTGTCAAACTAGAATACTGGTTGTATCTTCATAAAAAAGTGACTAAGATTAAAATTGTATCAACTCAAAATGATCCAGTGGATCTTATGGCGACCAAGTGATCTGAATCACGTGGCTTCGGTAAGCACTCCTAGATAGTCTCATTTTAAGACATGATTACTGTTCACAAAATGATTCAGATATGAAAATATTAGAAAGTGAACATAACATGCAGTCACACTTTAACCATTTTTATGGTTCAGTAATTAGACACCAAGACTACTGTTTGGTTTATCCTACTAATAGGTAACTTATATTCGACTTAAAGAACTTTGTCGTAAATCTATTGTACTATTGAGTGACTTTTAAATGGATATTGTTACGTCTTGCCGGTTGAACGCTATATTCGCTTCCCCAAGCTAGTTCCGTACCCCCGAGCTAGAACTACTCCGCGACTTGAAGACGAGAGAAAAGGCACAAAGTGTGAGGGAAGCAGTTTACTACAGGGTTCATTTATGTACAGAAAATATAGAGTTTTTATAGTAATCTAAGAGTCCTTGAGTTTTACTGAAAGTTCTAGAATACTGCTAAACATAGTAGCAGTGCATTAATCAGCCAATCAGGATCTCCACATGTGACTTTTCCATTTTCGTTATTTTAGTAAGATAACTTCACATAACTTCTAATTAATCGCTGATTGGTTGAAATGCTCCTTGATGACCCCTGAGCTTGTCATGTCGCTTGCGAGAAAATTGCAGGGTCATCCCATCAGATATTATAGATTTAAAAAGTTTTAATCTTTCATTAAACAATTGAGGGTATTGTATGTGTTATTCTCTACAGTCGGCGGACTATGTTCCATTGGGGGTGACAGGCGTAAGTAAAAGTGAAACATTTGTTTTTATTATAACAAGGAACTCACCACATGTCGGTTTTGTAGTTACTTTAGAGAGTTATACTGCAGATAATGAAATCAATTAGTTTCATAGTACGAATACATTGGTCTACTTACCAACTTCCTCTCTTCCTTCCTTCCTTCCTTCCTTCCTTCCTTCCTTCCTTCCTTCCTTCCTTCCTTCCTTCCTTCCTTCCTTCCTTCCTTCCTTCCTTCCTTCCTTCCTTCCTTCCTTCCTTCCTTCCTTCCTTCCTTCCTTCCTTCCTTCCTTCCTTCCTTCCTTCCTTCCTTCCTTCCTTCCTTCCTTCCTTCCTTCCTTCCTTCCTTCCTTCCTTCCTTCCTTCCTTCCTTCCTTCCTTCCTTCCTTCCTTCCTTCCTTCCTTCCTTCCTTCCTTCCTTC